AGAGCATAAGTTATGATGAGGGTGAACTTTATTTTTGATTCTAGCTACCTTTCCAAACCGTGGATAACAAAGCAGGGAGACAAGATAATGTTCATGTTTGGACCAGTGATCTTGTTGGTTTGCAAATGATTTTAAATTTAAGGTAGTTAATCCCACTGGAATAAAAGGGAGAATGAAGGATGATGACATTGAAATCTTTCCAAGTTCTTTGGTTCTAACAGGAACTTGAAAGTATTGGTCTGTTTGCTTCCCGTGGTGTATTTTCCCCATGCTCACTTGAATATTCCAGTTAAGACTCCTGGTTTCCAGGTGATTTGTGGAGGTGATGGGTGGGAGAACTGAGGAAAATCGGAAGTACAGGGATTTGCAACAGGAAGGAGCCAGCAGACCCAAAGGAAGTGGGATGCCTGCTGATCCTAACTGAGCTTCCCAGAGCTGCTGGCCTTTCAAAGGCGTCACCTCCAGACGCCAATGTCGGCAGTGTGATTGGTAGCACTGGTGCCAGGGTCAGGGGCTGGGGCCTCTTGACCTTGTGAAATAGTTTTTACTCAGGTTCATTTTAGTTGAAAAGCAGACATCACACACGGAAGAAAAGATGAAGTGGGGGGGGGTGGAGAAATTGAGAAAACAGATATGCTATTTTCTGTTGTTTAACTTTTTGAATGACTGCAAGAAACAGCATTGAGACAGACTGAAGCTGGGGAGCGTGAAACAATTCTGTCTCCCACGGGGAGTTGGGAACCCGTGACTTGAGCCACCTCAGCTGCTCCTCAGGGTGTAATCAGCAGGAAGTTAGATGGGAAACAGAGTCAGAGTGCTCAGAAATGGGATGGAGGAGCAGCCCATGCAGTGTTTTGTCTGCTGTGCAGGTGTGCACTGTGTGGTATCCTCTGTGCAGGTGTCCTCTCGCAGGTGCCCACTGTGCAGGTGCCCACTGGCAGATGTCCTCTCAAGGTGCCCACTGTGCAGGTGCACATTGGCAGGTGCCCACTGTGCAGGTGTCCTCTCCCAGGTGCCCACTGTGCAGGTGCCCACTGTGCAGGAGTCTGTTGTGTGGTCAGAGTGGAAGGTGACAGGTAGCATCCTCCCTTGATGACTGCATTAGTGTGCAGAGTCCGGCTTTCAATGCTTCTCATCTAGATGAATGTCCTCAAAGGATCTCGTCTCACCAAGGGGGTGCTTGGCAAGGACTTTAGTTACCAGGCTACCGCACTGGGCCTGGGACTGTTTTATTTCTACCTACAATTTCAATGCCTTATGCTCCCTTCTTGATTCTTATTATCTTGGTAAGAATGGTGAGAGAAGAGAGCTGGCCTACAGCTCATGCTCACAAGAGAGAATGTATTCTTTTGCCATTAAGTGTAAAGTTAACCAGAGGGTATTTTGTAGTTACTCTTCATTGGTTGAAAAGTTCTTCTCTATTTCAATTTTTTGAGCATTTTATCATATATTAATATTTAGAAGGATTTTTGTATTTATTTGAAATGGATCTACATAGAGAAGCTGGCTCTTGCAAAAAAGTGACAGGAGAGTGAGAGAGTGATAGGGTGTTTGAGAGAGTTCTTTTGTCTGCTAGTTCACTTTCCAACAGACTGACCACAGGAGCAAGGCAAAGCAGAGGCCAGAAGCTCCCTCTGGGGCTCCCGCAAGTGTGGCAGAAGCCCAAGCACTTCGACCATCCTCTGCTGCCTTTCCTGGCATGTTATTAAGGAACTGGTCACGTGGTAGAAGAGCCAGGTCTTGAACTAGCACCCCTATGGAATGCTGACATTACAGGCCCTTAGCTCCCTGTGCCAGTGTGCTGACCTTCATGACTGAATCTGAAAAAGGATTTTCTGCATACCTTGGTAACATCAGATGGTATTTGTTCCCTAGTCAAAATGGTAAATTACGTCGATGCATCACTTGAATCAAAACACTTATCACCGGCTATCATTTTGTTTACATATTTCTGAGTTCTATTTGTTAATATTTTGCAAATATTCTATTTGCTAATATCAAAGAGCTTGTTGTGTATAATCATGAGCAATATTGTCTGTTATTATTTCTTGTGTTATGTTTGCTGATGTGGGTAAGAGCATAATATAATCTTTATAAAATGAATTGGTAAATGTTTCCTCTTTCTGGATGAGGTTGGGTAGAATTGATATTAATTCCTCACTTAATATTTGATAGAATTTTCCACAGAAACTATCTGCGCCTGGAGCTTTTATTTTGGGGAATTTTAATTATGAATTTCATTTTCTTAATTGTTATAAAGCAAAGAAACCATATGTTTCATATTGTGTAAATTGTGATGGATGTGTTTTTAAAAATAGATTTATTTATTTGAAAGACAAAGCGTCATATAGAGACAGAGAGAAAGATCTTTGAATTGCTGGTTCTCTCCCCAGCTAGTGTTTATAGCTAGGGCTGGAGCAGGCTGGACGTAGGAGCCGGGATTTCTATCTCAGTCTGTCAGGTGGAGGAAGGGTCAAGGTGCCTGAGCCACTTTCTGCTGCCTTCCCAGGTGTATTAGCAGGAAGTTGAATCAGACGCCAATAAAGGGGTCACAGACACCGCACTGTGGGCTGTCCCCCCGGAAGCTGGCAGCATGCGCACTGTGCTGCAGTACCTTTTTGAAGTTTTGAAACTTCTACTTTTGTGTAAGTGTACGTAAAGGTGTGTGTGTGGTTGTTCTCCGTGTTCCCTGACCAACCTCTTAGCAGCTGCAGGATCTGTCGTTAAATCTCTGGTTTTATTCCTGATGTTGATGGTAGTCTTTTCTCCTTTTTACTTTGTTATACTTGATAGAAGTTTATCAGTTTTATTGAGCTTTCCAAACAATCAGCTCTTGGTTTGTGGAGTTTCTCTGTTATGATCTTTGTTGATTCATCCGTTCGGCTTGCTGTGGGTTTATCTGTCTTGTTCTGGTTGAGATGGAAGCTTGGGTGATGAGTTGCTCGTCACTTTTCTTGAAAGTGCACTCAGTGCTGTAGCAGTGTCTCAGTGCCGTGTTGTTTGTGTTACAGAAGTTTCGGATTCAGTATTTCTGCATTTTCATTTCAACTTAGTTTTGTGTAACTATTGATTTCCTGGAGACCTGTTTAATCCGTAGGTGGTTTAGCTGTGGTATTTGAATCCATGTCTTTGGAGATTGTCCAGTTAGTGATTTCTGCAGCAATTCTGCTGTGATCAGACACGCCCACTGTATGGTTCAGAGTCTTTTGAACTTGATGACTTTGTTTTATGACCCCCGTGTTCTTTACTGGCATGTATCCCAGAGGAACTTAGAGAAAGCGTGTGTTCTGTTGCTGGTGGAATGTCGGGTGAAGGTCGATTACGTCCTGATGATAACTAATTAATCTAGCAGTTGTTGAGGCAGGGATGTTGAAGTCTGCAATGGTAATTGTGAGTTTATCCATTTAGCTTTTTCATCCTATTAGTTCTGGTTTCTCATCAGCTCTGTGTTGATTTGGATTTAGGGTTGCTATGTGTGCTCAGTGGGGTGACTCTCATTCCCCAGTAATGTCCATATCTGTCTTTGGTAACTTTCTTTGTTAGGATATCTACTTTTTCTGTTAGCATAGCCATCCCCTTTTTCCTTTGATTAATGCTCTCATTTTATATATAAATAAATATATATGTTATATATAAATTTGTTTACTTTTAAGCTGCCTAAATTGTACTGAATGTGGATTTCTTTTTTTTTAAGATTTATTTATTTTTATCACAAAGTCAGATATACAGAGAGGAGGAGAGATAGAGAGGAAGATCTTCCGTCCGATGTTTCACTCCCCAAGTGGTGACCACAATGGCCAGTGCTGAGCTAGTCCGAAGCCAAGAGCCAGGAACTTCCTTCAGGTCTCCCACATGGTGCAGGGTCCCAAGGCTGTGGGCCAGCCTCAGCTACTCTCCCAGGCCACAAGCAGAGAGCTGGATGGGAAGTGGGGCTGCTGGGATTAGAACCGGCGCCCATATGGGATCCTGGCATGTTCAGGGCGAGGACTTCAGCTGCTAGGCCATGGCGCTGGGCCCAAATGTTCGATAAAGGTGGGAGGTGGGATTCCAGAGCCTCTGTCATGATTTCCTGCAGTGCTGGGGCCACTTACTACCTGCTGAACTTGGCATCTCACTCAGTTCCTGGCTCTTGGTTTTTTATACCAGGACTGGTTCGAGTGCCTCATTTTGCCTGGAGAAAGTGAAACTCGGGGTTTCTCAGTGCGTTCCACTGGCTCGTTCCACTGGCTCATCCCACTGGGGCTGTAGTCTTTGGTTTTTTGTTTTTGTTTTAATTTTTTGATTGATTAATTTGAAATTCAGAGTTACCGAGACAGAAGTACGAAGGATAAGGAGAGAGCCTCTGTCTGCTGGGTCAGGGCTAGGCTGGGGCTGGGGCTGGGCCAGGCTGAAGCTGGGCGCTTTTTCCAAATTTCCCATGTGGAGCTCAAACACTTTGGCTATCCCTTGCTGCTTTGCTCAGGTTTTAGCAGGGAACTGAATGAGAAGGGAAACAGCTGGGAGACAGACTGGTGCCCATCTGAGATGCCAGTTTTGTGGTAAGTGGCTTAACTTGCTGTGCAACATTGACAGCTTCAAGGTCCCTTTGTTTGCCCTTTGCTGTTTGCCAGGAGTTAGTGGTTGATATCTGAACGTGTCTACCCCCACTGTTAGCTTTGGCTGGAGAGAGTGGGCTTTTCTTGGGCACTCTTTGGGATCTGTGTCTATTGATGTTTTGAGTTCCTGATCTTCTTCAGCTCCTTGTGTGGGGTACGTGAGGCAAAGCACAAATTCATGGAACTGGCCTCTGTGCTGTCTCAGGCTCCTGAGGTCCCTTGCTGGTCGTCTTTACTCCCTCCACTATGCGCTCTGCTTGTGTTGGCTTAAATACAGGGCCTAGTTGTACGAGGCAGCAAAGGTGCATGTACTCCCTGCCTCTGGAGCAGAGCTCACCTGCTTGACCGGCCTGCGCTTGGTTTCCACGTGTCCCACATGTCCTTCCCTCCTCCATGTCCGTGCAGGTACCTGGAACTGGAAAGCAGCGGCCATCGGAATGAGGTCAGACTGCATTACCGCTCTGGCAGCCACCGTCCTCACACGGAGGTGTTCCCATACATTCTGGCTGATGACAAATGGCACAAGCTCTCCCTGGCCATCAGTGCCTCCCATTTGGTTCTCCATGTGGACTGCAATAAGTAAGTGAGATGTTCTTCTTGAGGGAAGGGGGTGGTTCTGAGGAACAGCTGCTCATGTTCCTTCTCCTGTGTTTCTTTTTCAAGAATTTATGAGAGGGTGGTGGAAAAGCCCCACACAGACCTGCCTGTGGGCACAACGTTTTGGCTGGGACAAAGAAACAATGCGCATGGCTATTTCAAGGTACACCTTGTCTAAAGTCTAAATGTGAAGTCTAAATGTGACTGCTACCTGGGGGTTTGGAAAATGCACTTCATGCTTTAACATGTAAAACAACGTAATTTGGTTTGCTTACATAGATTTCCATTCTTGTTAGTTTCTGTTTGTTTCATTGTTAGGGTTTTCACACTGCTATTTCCTTCAACTGATAGCTGTTCTCTCGCCTCCATGAGTTTTATCTCTGGACACCATGGTTGGTGTTCATAGGCTCACACTCAGGTCAGCCTTAGGGTCCTCATGTGCTCTGCCCCCTTCTTCTGCACACAGCAGCCTGCTCGAGAGGTGACATGCCTGCTCAGGGCTGGGCATAGGTTGGCATCAATTCCATGCTTGGGAATTCTCCACATCAGTGCTCTTGGCCCCTCTGGGCTGTGACCAGTTCTTTCTCATGGAGAGGTGTGGAGTCAGTGTGTGTTTACTGTGGTGTGCGGATGCTGCCCGCTGGAGCTGTGCAGTGCACACACCCTATCACTGCACGTGTTCACAGGAGCTGTGCAGTGCACACACCCTATCACTGTACATGTTCACAGGAGCCGTGCAGTGCACACACCCTATCACTGCACGTGTTCACAGGAGGCGTGCAGTGCGCACCCTGTCACTGCACGTGTTCACAGGAGGCATGCAGTGCACACACCCTATCACTGCACGTGTTCACAGGAGCCATGCAGTGCACACACCCTATCACTGCACGTGTTCACAGGAGGCGTGCAGTGCGCACCCTATCACTGCACGTGTTCACAGGAGGCGTGCAGTGCACACACCCTATCACTGCATGTGTTCACAGGAGGCGTGCAGTGCGCACCCTGTCACTGCACGTGTTCACAGGAGGCGTGCAGTGCACACACCCTATCACTGCACGTGTTCACAGGAGGCGTGCAGTGTGCACCCTGTCACTGCATGTGTTTTATGCAGCAGCTTCCAAGTGACAGGAGTTTGCACACAGATCCCTCCTCAGCCCCTCCCTTTATCACCGCACACAGCAGTGATGAGGCTTGTGGCTGGGAGGTTAAAAAGCACAGTCCATGTGTGTACACTCTTGGTTGTCTCTGTCACCTGTGGGTACTTTGCCCATCAACCATTCTGTTTGCTTTACTTACAAGGAGGAAGTAGAATGTCAGAGGAGGAAGAGAAATGCAGTTGGGAGAGAAAGAGCAGGTGGTGGCCACAGCAGGTGGCTGGAACATGTGCGCTGAGCTGGTTTCTGGGCTCTGCCAGCCTGGGTTCTCAGACCCTGCCTTCCAGGCATTCACGGTGCCTTTAGGACAGTGATTGCCACGTGCATATCCCCTCTAACCCTATGGTGTAGCATGTGTATGCCATGAGCAGTCTTCCTGCTGTTGGCTTTGGAGGGCCTCGTGAGGGCCTCCCTTCAGTGGATAACGAGAGCTGACCCTCAGAATGACGTAACTGTTGCCTCCTAGTTGCATCCTGGATTGATGTGTAAGGTGTAGGACACCCTGATGCTGAGGGAGGGTGTGGAGGGCCTCTGTTCGGCCTTGGTGTGGAGGGAGGTGTTCAGTAAGACTCTTTTCAGGCATTTGGGTGAGTCTCTTTTAGAAAGTTTTCCTTCATCAACTTGTCTGCTCAGTATCATTTGGGTAAATGAAAGTAATATGTCTTTTAAAAATTTGTTGCACACAGGGTATAATGCAGGATGTGCAATTGCTTGTCATGCCCCAAGGATTTATTGCTCAGTGCCCAGATCTTAATCGCAGTAAGTCTATCAGCTCCTGAACTGCATAATGGGATGGAATGTGTGCTGCTTGTTTCATTTTGTCCGAATGCCAGTTTGGAATTGGAGTTTGCATTTATTGGTTGCCAGCCTAGACTTAGCTAGGTTGAGCCTCTTAAAAATGTAACCTGACCAGTGTCATGCTTGTCATTCCAGCCTGTCCGACTTGTAATGACTTCCATGGACTTGTGCAGAAAATCATGGAGCTACAGGATATTTTAGCCAAAACGTCAGCCAAGGTGAGGTGACTCACAAGTGCAGTGGGGGCATGTGGAGATGCTGCTAGCTCCTCAGATGTCCATCTTGGAGATTTCTCTGGTCCTATGCTTCTTTCCAGGGCTGCCTATCAACTCCTGCTCAGGGAGCTGCCTTATAAATATTTACACTCCCACCAGCTAGCCACCAAATGGTTCAATAAATCAGCAGTGAGGCAGGTTACCTGGCTCACACTCTGCTCACCACAGCAAGATTTATTGTTTTATTATTATTTATGATTACAGATCATTTGTATAGTTGTTTACTGGTCATTAGCTGCTCATTACTGGCTGGGAGGGGAGTGAAGAGGCTGTGGGCTCTCTCTGGGAAGTGCCCCTTGCCTCTTGGCTGTGGAGTGACTCACTGGTGTCTGAAGCCCACAGCAGGCTGCCCTGCACTGCACAGACATGTGACTCTGTGTGGTAGTTACAATCTGGCTCATAGGCTGTGTTACAGAGTATATGATTGAATTTTCACATATTACACATTATAAATTTTATTTTTTAAAAAATTAAGTCCCCATGTTGATGCATTTAATGAAATTAAACCTTGACAAAGCTGGGACCCCCTTCTCTGTATTGTGTGTGTGGCTCTTTGCTTTCAAAGACAGGGAACAAACCTATCACTGACAAGGAGAGAAAACCCTGCCTGTAACGCTAAGCGCTCAGACACATTTCTGACATGAGAGGTGGGCACAGCCACTTTGTTCCCAATGCAGGGGCAGTGTGGTGCCTTGTGGGGGTGGCAGTGGTCTGTGCTTCTGTGGGGCTGGCACAGTGGGCAATGACCACTTCCTGTGTGCCCAGCTGTCCCGAGCCGAGCAGCGGATGAACAGGCTGGATCAGTGCTACTGTGAGAGAACATGCACCATGAAGGGCGCCACCTACAGAGAACTTGAGTCCTGGACAGATGGCTGTAACAACTGCACGTGCCTGGTAGGGGCCCCATTGGAGTCCTCGCGAGGCCACACATTCCCCCGCCACTCCAAATAGTTGATGGGATCAGTGAACTCATCGACATTACCCACAGGGTGCATCTGTAACTGCATGTGCCTGGCAGGGGCCCCATTGGAGTCCTCGCGAGGCCACATCCCCACTCCGAATAGTTGATGGGATCAGTGCACTCGTGAACATTATAGACAGGCTGCGTCTGTGATCTACCTGCTGCTTATGAACTACATTTCCTCCCCTATCCAACTCCCAGGCTCAGCAGTGCTAGCCAGGTCCAGGTCACTGGCACAGCCCAGAGGTTAGTGATGCCACAGGCTCTGTCCTGCTCTCTTAACACACCCAGAGGGGTGAAAGTTTATGAAATTTACATATTATACCACGCCATAATTATTGGCATATTTGTGCCAAAGGATAATCGAATAGTAAGCAAACAATAGGGTTTAAATAAGGCAATTGTAAGTATTTTACTAATACAGCAGAATGCATATCACATCATTTAATCAAATATTTGCTCACTACTGAAGGATATTTTAGTGCATTGCTATTTGAGGAAATGTTACTTTGCTAAGAGAAGATAGCAGTGACTGTGGTGTTGAACTCTTACATGCCACATGAACTTGGCTACCAGAGCTGGTGCTCTGGGAAGATGTCAGGATGTTTGTGTGCTAGCCCTTTACAGATCTCCCAAGTTCATCCAGGACAATCTACACAGCAGGCACGTCAGAGCACAGGGGTGGCCCTGGCAGCATGTGCGTTGTATGGCTTTGATACATGCACATCACATACTTCCTCCCACAATCTATCTCTGCATGGGTAGCGTAGGGCACTCCCCCACACCTGTTCCAGGGAAACAGAAATAGAGTTGAGTGAGATGCTAGGTGTAGTGCCCGAAGGTCAGTGAGACACTGAAACAGCACCAGGGTCATGGTCCTGGCACTGCTGCTGACTGGTGTGGTAGCTCCTGTATGGGTTGTTGATAGGGTGTCCCTGGGGTGCTGACTGGTGTGGTAGCTCCTGTATGGGTTGTTGATAGGGTGTCCCTGGGGTGCTGACTCTGGTGTGGTAGCTCCTGTATGGGTTGTCAGTAGGGTGTCCCTGGGGTGCTGACTCTGGTGTGGTAGCTCCTGTATGGGTTGTCGATAGGGTGTCCCTGGGGTGCTGACTCTGGTGTGGTAGCTCCTGTATGGGTTGTCAGTAGGGTGTCCCTGGGGTGCTGACTTTGGTGTGGTAGCTCCTGTATGGGTTGTCAGTAGGGTGTCCCTGGGGTGCGGGAGGATTCTGGGTCCTGAGAAGGAGGGCTTCTATGATGGGGAGAACCATTATGGAAATGTCCTGGTGGGGGGGCCATTCTGTGGGTGCTTGGAGGATTATCCACCAACTCCCCAGGAGGGTCTGCTCTTCCCTCCTACACCTGTTGCTCTTGCTCTGTTGGGCCAGCTGCTGGCCAGGGGAGTAGGTGTCTGTACTTTGGGTTGTGGGTAGCAGCTGAGGAGAGCAGTGGGTTTTATGACATTTCCCAAAGACCTGGGAAGTTCCTGAACTCTAGCTGTTTTCTTTTCAGAATGGGACTATCCAGTGTGAACCCCTGGTCTGCCCTGTGCCTGAGTGCCCGCTGAAGTCAGCTCCAGCCTACGTGGATGGCAGGTGCTGTAAGGAGTGCAAATGTAAGCACAGCTTCTATGATGGATAAGTGTACCAAGGCAGACTCTGATTGGACTCCACAGCTTCCGCGGTGATGGAGGGAGGAGAATGCTCGCTGTGTTGTGGCTGATGGGGTCTTGTACGTGCTGCTTGTCTGCTCCAGTAGGAGGGATCTGTAGCACGCAGTGATGCACAGGGAGATTTGTCTAGGGCTCTCCCTCACACAGGCCCCTCACAGAGGGCTCAAGGGGCATCTGGGAAATCTCAGCAGTGATGGACTGTTACCATACATGGAGACCCACGTGTTGTAGGATCAGCCTGCCACATGGGACAGTTGTTTTTGGCCATCTGTGCCCTGCAGAGGGCTTCCAGATCAAAAATCATGTCACCTGTGTACTATTCTCTTAACAGACTTCATATCAATCCTCCTGAAAATAAGCAGTTAAAACATGTAGTAGCTATTTTTGTACAAGGGAGTAGTGAGTTATGTAAGCACTGAGTGATTAGAATGCTGTGGAATGCAGACCTGTGCAGACCAGGGACCTTCAGCAGGTTCATGGACAGCATGCATTTCAGAACCGGCTTGCACCAGTGAAGCTTATCTTTTAATTCCACTTTTCCATGAACTTCACAAAGCACCACTGCATTCTCGCATTGAGGTTGGCAAAAGAGAGGAAAGGCTGAAAAGAGAGAGGAGAGAGCTGGAGAGAGGTGGGCATGGAGAGGGACAGATGGAGGGAGGGAGAGGGAACCAGTGTCCTGTCCCTGGTCGGTGTGTGAGCCTTCCGCCTTTGCCGCTGTGTGCTGAGCTGGGTGCATGCTGCCTCTGCTGAGAGGGACAAGTCATCGGGTGAGAATCAGGAGGCCCCTTAGCAGCACGCTGATTGAGTTACCTCCTGAATTCATTTGAGCTTGACTTTGGAAGGGCTTACCTGCAAGTTCTGCACTTTATGAAGGTGTGTTAGCTATGTGTTAGCAGAGGGTTTTGCCAGGCCAGGGAGGGGAGAGTGCAGTAGGCACTGGGGCTGTTGCTAGCTCATCTCTTGGGCAAGTTGTCTGGGTCCTGTGGACTTTTCATAGTAAACACAAGCTGGTGGGATGTTCTGATTGCTGTAAGTATTCAGAGGAAGGAGGAGAGAGAATCTGAGATACACACAAGACTGTATGGTTGCAACATGAGGGAGAAAAGTTACATTTTCTGCTTTAATTTCTTTTGCCCTTCTTCCCACACAATATGGCATCTGCAATATTGGATAATAGCTAATTTTAGTAGCTACTGGATGCTTCAACTCGTGGGTGCTCATGGAGGCTGTGTTAGTCACAGTGGCTAGTCACAGAATCCCAGTGTCTCTGTCCATCCCCATTACCAACAGGAACCTGCCCTCCCAGTCAGACCCCCACAAAGATTCGTGGCCAGCTGGTGGATGCTCCCTGGATGGGGAAAACGCTGTGAGGTGCGCTCGTGTTTTGTGTGTCTACAGTGCTAAGGATGGATAAATAAATGTGTTGGCCTCCTTCACAGTGAAAGTTAGAAGGAAGAAACCTATGAGCAAGCCACACATCTCTGAATGAAGCCCAAGATAATACATCTGCGCCTCTCAGCAGTAAGGATGAAATGACTGCTATTGGTTTCAGCTGTTTGCCAGCTCAGTGCCAGGGTGCCGAGGGTGTGTGCTCGCATGCCACTGACATCTGGGGTCTGCATTCTCTTTCTGGTGAGATTAGCATTGACCACAGCCAGAAAGACAGGCCCATTTCCAGACCTGTCTTTAGGACATGTGTGTTTGCTTGCATGGTCAGTGTCCTGGGGTTCTCTGAGGTCGAAGTCTCCCTCCTCCCGGCTGAGCTGTCATAATGGTCTGGAAGATGTGCTTCTGGGGTGTTTTTGTCTAAGGAATAGGTGTGGCAGTGGCCTGCTGTAGCCTGTGCCCTGGCAGGTCACAGGCAGAGCACATTGGCCCTGCACCCACCCAGCGCCTCTGTGTTTCTTGTGCTGCTGACTCGCTGCCTTCAGTCGCTGACAGAGCACTGAGCACACGAGTGGTTTCTGGAGACTGACGACGTGGAGTCCAGGTGCAGGTGCCAGGAACCCTGGAGAGCAGCAATGCCCAGGAGCAGTAGTGGAAACCGTCTTCACTCAGGAAAGCTCATTCATGTTAGGGTGTTAGTACCATCCTGACTGCCCAGGATCAGAACCTAACTAGGTGATGCAGAGGTGGAATGGGCTCACCCTCCTATGTGGGATTGAGCTGTTGTGACTGTAGGTTGCAAATCTGATTTGGGGGTTTAACTTTGGGCAGCTGTGCATTCTCTCTCAGCCTCAGTTTCTTCATCTGTCTGATTATGTGGACTTCGCAGGCATACACAATCATTAGATAAGTAGCAGTGGAACACAGCTTAGAACAGTATTAATAACTGTCCTCGTGAAAGAACCCTTCATGTTCTCAGTGATAAAAATACAAAATAGCATAAAATAGATCCTTGCGTCTGGAGCTCAGTGCTCCCTTTGAGGGGCTTTGTGAAGGCTGACAGCTTCTCTCCCACACAGCTCTGTCCTGTGCACCTCTCCATCATGGGTGACCTGCAGAGCCCATTCCCCATATGTAGTGGTTTGTGTGTGTGATTCTCTTGCTTGGAATGTCTGTGTGGTACTGAGTGGTGAGGGGGTCAGACGTGTACATCTGGCTCACTCACTCTCATGGCTGTGTCTCATGGAAACATGTGATGCAGATCACACATGCCTGTAAATGTTTCATGTGTAAACATGCAGTTGGCTCCCAAGGTAGTGCGGGCATCCTATGGAAACATGTGCTTTAGGTCACTCATGGCTGTGTGTGTCTGCTTTCCCTCAGAATGATCCCCAGTGCATGAGGCAGATCAGATACATCATGTGGGCGCACTCACCGCTCTTTGGGTCTTGTGATGCAGGTCCCCCATGGCTGTGTGTCTCGTGTCCACAGAGGCAGGTCCCCCATGGCTCGCTTATAAACTTGTGATGCAGGTCACCCAGGGTTGTTTTTCACATGTGAACACGTGGGTTACAGGTCATTCTCAGTGCTGTGCACTGCTCGTTTCTGCTCTGGGATCTCACCAGCTGCTGGTGATGGGCATTTGCATGATGTGCAGATATTGGCTGTGAGAATACTTTTGGAAACACTCTTTACATCCTCTTGACCTTAAGTGTACTTGTATTTCTGTGAGTGTAGACCTGAGAGTGGAAATGCTTGCGACAGGGCCAAGCTGTTGTACTCTGTTGCTAGTGTCATGTGTCTTCTCCCAGCTCTGCTCCTTGATTCCTGACACCGAGCTTTTGGGAGTGTGTTGTCACAGCCATCTGGGTAAATGAAGTTGGCATCTGATTAGATGTCATCCAACTTTGTGTTTCCCTGATCACCGTTCAAGATGAGCACCTTTTTGTATGCTCGTGGGCTGCTTTCATTAATTTCAAAAGTAGAATGAAGAGTCAGTGTACCTAGATTGTTCTTGATTTTTGCAGGAAGTGAGAGTTTGTGTGCCTTTAAGGTTTTTGTGATTTTATTTGCATGTCAAGCTAAGTTATTCTGCTTTGTAAATAGGGATGGAGTCACTGCCTGGAAGATATTCAGGATTTTGAACAAAGGGATGACAGTCCAATAAGGCTGAGTCAGTGACTTCTGAGCAAAAACCAGGGGACCATAATTCACTGATTCTCCTTCTTCTGAAAAGTGGAGAGTGTAAGTTGTGCAGCTTGTGGTGCCAATGAGGGTAACTTTGGTCCAAGGGAGCCAGCGGCTGCAGCTGTTGTATGGGGAGCTGAAATGCACACAGAACATGCACGCGCATGGCTGTGGCATGGTTAGCATTGCAGGGGCACTATGCTGCCTTGCAGTGCTGATCCTGAGTAAGCTGAGTTGTACAATAATGAAAAAGTACAAATTGCAACCTAAAGCTAGTGTGCTGCTCTCTGTCAGGTACATTTTTTATTAAAAAGAGAGAGATGAAGGGATGGAGAGCTTGCACCCACTGGTTCCCTCCCCAGATAGCTGTCCCAGATGGGGCTTGCCCAGGCTGAAGCCAGGCAGCAGCTTCTCCCAGGTCTTCCATGTGGGTGCAGGGACCCACACGCCTTGGCTGTCCTCCGCTGCTTTCCCAGGAGCATTAGTAGGAAACTGGATTGAAAGTGGAGCAGCCGAGACTCCAACCAGCCCCATGTGGAGTGTCAGCATTGCAGGTTTGGCTTTACCCACCACACCACAGCACAGTTCCAGATGCCACGTTTTAGAATACTTCTAGAAAGAAAATCGCATTACAGTGAGCACGGAGCCAGTTGAAACCAGTGGTGTCGCTCTAAGCCCGAGCAGAGGGCTGAATTGGAATCCGTCTTCTCTTGGTAGAATTGGGACTTTCCCTTTGTGGGTGTGAGTAGAAGATGGTCAGGGAAACAGTCCATTTGTGCATTCCCTTGTAACGATAGTGAGCTTACAACAGGAAGTATGCTCACAAAAGACAAGTAGCAAAGTTTGATTAAAGAGATCTTTCATTGAGATAAGCTGTAGGCTTCCTGAATGCTGTCGTTCTGTGCTGATATATATTTTTTTCATTAAATCTCTTTAAAAAGACATTTGACACACTGCTACCTTTTAGGTATTTCAAAACTGATAAATGTGATTGCTGCAAAAATACTAACTGGCAATATATTAAATAATAGCCACACCTAACAATATTGCCTTCAGATTAGTTACTGTGAGGCACACATGGTGTGTCTGGATGGCCCGCGGAGAAATGCAAGCTGGAATGATGTGGCTGGGTGTATTGTAGCAGGCGTGGCTTTCTGTTGATTGATTGTGCCTTTTATATGGAATGAAGCGTTGATTTTGCTAATTTGGGAAAATACATCTCAAAGTTTGTGTTTTATTTATTTATTTCTGGTAGAGAAAGAACAGGGGAAAACCTATTGCCTTAACTTACTGGAATTTTTTCAGTCAGTTGTCATGTAGAATTCTTTGATTCTGAAACTCTTATTCCATTTGCATTTTAGTACAAG